AGGGAAGGGGGGCATAGAGAAGGGGGGCACAGGGAAGGGGGCACAGGGATGGTGAGCACAGGGAAGGGGGGCACAGGGAAAGGGGCACAGGGATGGGGAGCACAGGGAAGGGGGCATAGGGAAGGGGGCACAGGGAAGGGGGCATAGGGAAGGGGGCATAGGAAAGGGGGGCATAGGAAAGGGGGCACAGGGAAGGGGGCACAGGGAAGGGGGCATAGAGAGGGGGCACAGGGAGGGGGCATAGGGAAGGAGGCACAGGGAAGGGGTACAGGGAGGGGGCACAGGGAGGGGGCATAGGGAAGGAGGCACAGGGAAGGGGTACAGGGAGGGGCACAGGGAGGGGGCACAGGGAAGGGGCACAGGTAAGGGGGCACAGGGAGGGGGCACAGGGAAGGGGGCACAGGTAAGGGGGCACAGGGAGGGGGCACAGGGAAGGGGGCACAGGGAAGGGGTACAGGGAGGGGGCACAGGGAAGGGGGCACAGGGAATGGGGGCATAGGGAAGGGAGCATAGGGAAGGGGGCACAGGGAAGGGGGCACAGGAAAGGGGGCATAGGGAAGGGGGGCATAGGGAAGGGGGCACAGGGAAGGGGGCACAGGGAAGGGGGCATAGGGAAGGGGGGCATAGGGAAGGGGGCACAGGGAAGGGGGCACAGGGAGGGGGCACAGGGAAGGGGGGCAGAGGAAAGGCACTGGATCGAGTGGGACTCCCAGCTGGAGGGCCAGTGTCCACCCTGATTTGCAGCCTATTCGGTTGCGGCTTGGGTTGGTGGCTTCATCTTCCTAATAATCAGTGTCCCTGTCTGTAGAGCTGCAACAACAAAAGAGTGATTTCATGCTCAGCAGGCCCCCGGGAGGATGCAATGATGGTGTCATTAGATCCAGCGACACAGTGGCTGGTGGTGGCGAGGGAAGAGGAACTGGAACCTGTGACTGGCCTTGACGGGTTGGCTCTTCCAACTTCCTGAGCCTGTCGCCTCAACTGTGAGGCAGTAGTCGCCATTGGAAACACACCAGACCCTCGTCTGTGACAGAGATCTCTGGTGCCCCTTGTCTATGGGATGAGGAGACTCGGGGTTTAGAAGGTCCTGGTGAGGGGGCTCCCCATGTTCTGTCAGAGGCACTTCTGATTCTCACCACATCCCCCAACTCCAGGGCCCCTTCCAACCACATTCACTCCAAAGCAGTGACCCTGCTTCTGACTGTCCGGCCACCGCAGGCTGGATTTTGCCCTGAGGTAGTTTGAGGGAGGTGGCACGTTCTGTGAAGACCTCTCAGAGGACGGTTGGAGCAGTGGCGGCCTTCTCGACACAAGCATGGCCTCTAGGTGAGCACTTCGAAGGTGGCACCACTTACTAAGATCCAGGAATGGTTTCCTTGGTGGGGGTAGGTCGTAACTTATTTCCCTGCTGAGGAAACAGCGGAGGGAAAGATGAGTTGGGGTGACCCCGGAGGTAAGTGGTGATGAGGCTTTTAAGGAAAGAGGATGTGAGCCCTGAGAGGGGCCTTTTCAGCGAGAGGCAGGGGAGTAGCCTGGGCAGGAGGCTGGTGCTGGGCAGGCCTGGGGGCAAAGCTCGGGGTGAGGACCAGTGGCTAAAGCTCATGCTTGGGAAGATGTATCAGTCAGCTCAGGCTGCCATCACAAACACCACACACGGGCATCTTAGACAATAAGAATTTACTGTCTCACAGCCTGGAGGCTGGAAGTCCGAGAGCAGTGTGCTGCAGTGTAGGTCTCCTCTGAAGCACTCTCCTGGCTTGTAGATCGCCATCTTCCCCCTGTGTCCTTCAGAGGTCATCTCTAATCTGTCTGTGTCCTAACTCCTTTCTTGTGAGGACTCCAGTCATGTTGGATTAGGGCCCACTCTGATGACCTCATCTCCAACTCCAGTCCCATTCTGAGGAGCTGGGGTTAGAACTTCAACAGACAGATTTTGGGGGAACACAGCAGCCCATAATAGAAGCCAAGCTCGAGCCGCGGGCCTGCAGCTTTCTGGGACAGGGAAGTGAATGGGGAAGGACTGGGGACCAAGGCAGACACCTTTGCCGCAGTTCCGCTTGTTGCCACGCCATGACGCCCTGATTCCTGCTGCCCTGACCCATCCTGGTCGGGGCTAGTGCAGGAGGCAACCAATCGATGTGTCTCTCTCACATCGATGTTTCTCTGTGTATCTCTCCCCCTTCCGCTCTCTCTAAAAATCAATGGAAAAATAACCTCAAGTGAGGATTAATAAAGATCCCCACAACTTTCTTTTTGAAAATTAAAACATTTCATTTGTTTTTCTATAATGAAAGGATGTATCTCTTGAACGTACCCATTGATTAAATCACCCAGCATGGGCCAGGGATTGGGGTTTGTTTACAAAATTGACCAGGAATTTTGCTTCTTTATGGTGGATTGAACTCTCAACGAACTGAAACTCTTGCAGAAAACTATACACTTTGTATAAAATATAAACAAACAAGCAAGAAAACAACAACAACAAAAAAACACCCCACACTTACCTGAAGTGTCTGAGGGGGAATCAGGAGACAAATAACCTATTTTTAAAAAATCAGGAAAAAAATCTGAGCAAACATTTATCAAAAGCAGAGATGTGGTGGCCAACAGGCACGTGAAGCGATGCTCAAGGTTATTAATCATGGGAGATGCAGATCAAAGTCAGGGTGACCAGGAGGAAAGGCGACACACCGAGTCCTGGCAACGATGGAGGCCGGCTGGACTGCGCAGCGCGCTGGGCAACAGGGGCCTTATGGGAATGTAACTGAACGGTGACATGTAACCCAGCCATTCCATTAGTAGGTGTCTCTCCATGAAAAATGTCTACACAACCTCATACACAGATGTTCATAGCAGCTTTATTCATAATATCCTAAAACTGGGGCCACCCCATGTCCATCCACGGGCGGGTGGATAAACAAATGAGGTTTGCCCACATGATGGGTAATGCTCACCATCAGAAGATCAAACCGCTTCCTGATAGATGCCCAAGTGCCGGTGGCTCAGTCATTGTGCTGAGCGCGAGCAGCCAGTTCACCGGAGGCTGATACTGTGCGCCCTTTCCTTATATAGAACCTGAGGAAGGGCAGACTGAGTCGGTGACAAAGCAGATCAGCAGTGGCCTGGGCAGGGCAGCAGGTGGAGGGCAGCAGAGAGGGGAGGGGTCCGCAGGAGGGGCGCTGGGAGCGCTGTCTTGCTCACTCCAAGTGCAGCTGTCAAACTCACTGGCCTGTGATTCACTGCACGCAGGACGTTGTAAGTGATCACACCTCCCTCCATTAAGTGGGTTTTAAGTGTCCTGGGCTCCTGCTTAACCCAAAGAACCAAAGGCGTGAGGAGACCTGTTCCTGTTTCGGTGGAAGTGGAGCCGGGAGGCTTCTGAGTCACTGAGTTGTGAGCAGTGGAACCGGTGACGTCATTGTCAGGGCATCCCGGATCCAGAGTAAAACTCCCCCCGGGACTTTTAGGGTGCAGACAGGACCTCAGGCAGCCTCAGGCCGCAGTCTCTGTGTGGGCTGAGACAGGAGACAGATTCCAGTCTAAAAAGTAAGCTCTTTCCCCAAAAAAGAGAATAGGGCCTTGAAACAGCCTATAGCCTCAGAGGAGACGCCCCTGTTGGCAGATGGCACCCACAGACATCTGGGCTCTCCGTTACCATGGCAACGTCCCCTCCTCACCAGCAATGCCCGGCACTCACAGGCAGTCTCCAACTTGCACTTCTGGTTGCTCCTGCCCGGAAAGAGAGTGCATTGCGGGTGATCCTTCCACCTGCTCTACATCCGGCCCTTTGTGGTGGCAAAGCGGGCCCCTTGCAAGAGAAACTGTCCGAGCCTGGGAAAGCGGTGCCACTGGCTACCGCAGGACTGTAGTTGCCCATCAGCTCCTGGCCTTGTGCCCACCCTGAAGGCCCCTCACTGCTCCTGAGTCAGCGCCGAAAACAAACAACACATTAATTAGAAAACTATTATCCGGTTCATCATAAACTGCAGTAAGGACAGACTGGGGTTCATACCTTCTACTTCATTCCTGAGCTCCTCTACTACCCACAAGGTGAGAGCAGCAACGCATATTTATCATTAAAGAATGAAAATCATAACGGGCCTCCCAGAGCAGCATAGAAAGAGAACAAAGAGCTCTTCAGCCATGAACCAGCCATCCTGAATGGCTAAGGACATCCTGAATGGGCTCTGTTCTGCTCCTGCCGGGCCCTCTCTCCTCCCCCCGGCCCCACCACTTCCCCCCTCCCTCCTCTCTGTCTCACTCTCTGGGAGCTCAGACAAGGGTGGGGAGGAGAGTAATGAAAGGTCACTGAGGACTGGGGAGCAGGACCAGCTCCGAAAGACCACATTCCAGGCCCTGAGGACGCCACATTGTGTCAGATCAAGGTTGGGGACAAGAATTGGGCTGACGTTTGAAAGGGTCGATGGGGTGAGACTGGGGAAAGGAACGTGCAGAGAGACAGTTTTCATACTTTTTGCTTATTTGCTTGACTCAACATATTATCTGTAAAAAAGAATAAAATGAAAACTCAGATGTACGGTCACCGACTTCTGATTCCCTTGAGCGTGTGCAGAGGAGGCGGGCCAGCGCTCTAATGCCAGTCGGCTCTGGAATGCTGGCAGGGGCAAGGCGGGAGGAATGCATTTTCCACATCAGAGTAGAATTTATGCTCAGTTCGGGAGCCCTCAGAGGAATTCCCTGCCTCATTTGGCCTCATGACTTTTCTGGTTGAGAATACCTCTGAGCACATGCAAATGTCAACAGTGAGGACATCTGGATGAGGAAGAAAAGCCGCCTTTGTATCTACTGCAGTTTAAAAAAGTCAAATTCCTAGTTTCATGGGCAAGACTGCACTTTAATCAAAATCTGGGCTTGGGGTCAGGCTGGGGGTTGAGTGGAGTGGAATCTTCATTCAAAAAGGCCTCATTTGGTGGCGTGGCCAAGACGCACGCGGGGGGTGGGGGGGGGGGGGGACGGGGGGGGCGGTGGAGCATGGGGGGGATGGGAGGGGAGGCAGACGCTGTGCAGGTTGTCCCTGCCAGGAGGGGCGAGGCGGGCTGAAACTTTGTCCTGTCTCCCCTCCTGAGGGAACAGGAGGGAACGTGGTGAGGGAAGGAGGCTTGTCTGAGCACCAGCTCACAGCTCAGTGAAGGGAAAGCCGGGCTGCCTGCGTGGGACACCCTCTGGCTGCCCCTCCGCCCGGTGCCAGGCTGCAGGAGGGTTGGGTGCTCCGTGGCCTCTGCTGCGCAGGCCCCTGCAGCTTCAGCAGGTCCCAGCTTCTCACACGGTCATGACCGCTGAGGTCTGGGATTCCAACTGAGGGAAGAGAAATGCATGTTTCAAAGTCAGGATCATGGGCACATTCCTCGGCCACTCCTGCTCTGGGTGGTGCTCTGTGAAGGCCGCCCAGGCCTCGGTCTCCGCCTTGGGCTGCCGCACTTGTGGTTAGAGAGCAGGGCTTTTAAAACAAGGGCGGGGCCCTGGCCAGTTTGGCTCAGTGGATAGAGCATTGACCTGCCCACTGAAGGGTCCCGGGTGCGATTAAGGTCAAGGGCATATACCTCAGCTGCAGGCTCCTCCAGAGACCTGCCCCTGGTTGGGCACCTGCAGGAGGCAACCAATCAATGTGATTCTCTCACATCGATGTTTCTCTCTGTCTTTCCCTCTCTCTTCCACTCTCTCTAAAAATCAGTGGAAAAATATCCTCAGGTGAAGATTAACAAATAATAAATAAATGAATAAATAAATGAATAAATGAATGAATGAATGAATAAATAAATAAAACAAGGGCTGGGGCAGCCTATTCTTGTAGATGTGTGTGCATGTACATCTACACTTGAAGTACGTAATATAAATACGAGGACACAAAGCATGTGCTATATGTGCTTATGTATATAAAATCTCGTTCAGAAAATGAAATTGGAAAGTTTTCCCTTAATTATTGACTTGGCTCTTTAGACGAGTTATTTCACAACATGAATTCTACTAAATTCTAAAAGTCTGAATTCAAAATCTCGAAATGTCTCTAGGAAAACGGAACTGGCCGGCAGTAAGCTTGTGTTCAGGGCCTGAGGCCACTGTGAGAGGCATCGTGGCCGCTGCGCCCCGACAGCTCTCCCCATGGAGAGCGGCCACCCCATCCAGCTCCTCCCTCACCAGCGGAGCTGGCGTGGCCCTGAGTGTCCCACTCAGTCTGGCAGAGAGAGGAAGTGCCTTACCTGGATGCTCAAGGCCGGACCAGGTCTGTCTGCACAGGACGCAGGTGCTGCTGGAGGCAGCCTGTCCCGGGCGTGTGTCTGCTGACAACTTAGAGGTAACGGCTGTCCGCCTCAAGGATGGCATTCTCCCGAAGCCAGTGTTTTAAGCTATGGCCTAGAAACACCTGGAGGGGGACCCCCATGCACTGCAGTGGACAGACGGGTACAGGTTACTGTGGCTAAGTATCCCACCGGCCCATTGGACAGACGGGAGGGTTTGTTTTCCTCCCCACAGCCCGGCCTTTCCGCTCTGCGCAGCCTTCCTCAGGCAGCCAGAGGTCTGTCTGCCCCCCACTCTGACACTAGGACATGTTACTAACCCAGAATCTTTGGCTGCTCACGCAGTTCTAGCAGCACCTGATGACTCAGGAAATGGGGGCTGGGTGGGAGTTCGGGACTCCTGTGTCTGCAGTGGACTATGGAGCCAAGCCATGCATTTCTAATGCGTAATGGCTAGTTCTCACCTCAGTTTAATTTTGTTCAAGTCAACAGCAATTGAAAAAAAAAAAAAAAAAAAGCTCACACATTGTGTTATTTTTAAAGATCCTCAAGGCCCTAGACTGGGGCTTAGCGGCCCTAACCCCTGAGCAGGCAGCTGTCTGCAAACCTGTTTTCCGTCAGCGTCAGTGTTTCTCCTGCACACAGACCACATGCCATTGGTGCTGGACGCCGGTGGACTCCGGGGGGGCTGGTGTCAGACCCGTTCCCAGCCCTGCAGGGTAGCTAACAGCGCCTGCTCAAGGCCACCACCAGAGCGGTGCCGGCCGCTGCCTGCTGGCATGAGGAGCAGCGATGGGAAGAGAAACCCCACAGGACCTTCCCATTGAAATGACCAAACGGCAGTGACCGCTCTGAGCGCGGCCCGCGCGCGACAGCGCCCAGTAAAGAGCGAGTCTGCGCCCCTCAGAGAGGGCCTGAGGAAGCACAGCGCGCACATCGGTGGGGCAGGGCCGCTCAGGTGTCTGGATGCCAACACACAGAGCTTTCCTCCCTCGGACAGAAGGCATTGGGGACTCGTCAGTCTCGTTTGTAATTAACATCTAACCTTACAAAGTCTGCAGGACGTACTAGTGAACAGTAAGTGTGCCGGTTATCATTCCCTAGAGCAGTGGTTCTCAACCTTCCCAATGCCGCGGCCCTTTAATACAGCTCCTCATGTTGTGGTGACCCCCAATGTCATTGTTACACATTGAACATAATGAAAGCATAGTGATTAATCACAAAAACAATATGTAATTATATATGTGTTTTCCGATGGTCTTAGGCGACCCTGTGAAAGGGTCGTTCGACCCTCAAAGGGGTCGCGGCCCACGGGTTGAGAACCGCTGCCCTAGACCATCACATGACGCTCAGGTGGGCCTATTGGACAGATTGAATTATGACATTTGCCACTATGCCAGTTTTCCTCTTTTTTTATTTTTTTTTCTTAACCCAAGCATACGGGATACCTCCTGACTCTTAGACGGCTCCAGAAGGATGACCTTAGGCTGAGCAAAGTAAAATGACCCATCATCTTAGTTCACTTAGGATTTACCACCAACAGGATGGTCACATTTGATCTTCCCCAACCCTTGGATTTACTCCACATCACAGCCAATCATTTTCCTGAATCTAGGAACTTACAATAAAAACATACTTGTAAATGCATTTCTCCTACTGTACATGTTTGCATAACATATACCATTTATTAAGGAAACAATTTGCATTTAATATACGGTTATAATAGAACATTATTAAAATCTGTTACCTGAATCCGGAGGAAAAGAAGATGATGCCATAGTCGATTTGGCTCAGTGGATAGAGGGTCGTTCTGGGGACTGAAGAGTCTCAGCTTAAATTCTGGTCCAGGGCACGTACCTCAGTTGCAGGCTGGATCCCTGGCCCTGGTTGGGGTGAGAACAGGAGGCAACCAATTGATGTGTCTCTCACATCGATGCTTCTCTCTCCCTGTCTCTTCCCCTCCCCCTCCCTTCCACTCTCTAAAAATCAATGGAAAAGTACCCTTGGGTGAGGGTTAACAAACAAACAAAGAAGGTAAGAACACAGGTCCCTTATCGGAAGGGTCCTGGGCTTTGTGTATTGGCAGAGGTGTCAGAGGCCCCTGCTAAGGGCAGGGTGCTGGTCCTGGGAAAAGGGCCTCTTGCTTGGGTGGGAGGCACCCAGTCGTTCACTATCATTCATTATGGATGTCCTTTGTCAAATAGAGGAAGCTCCCTTTCTCCCCAGATTGTGAGGTGTTTTATCCTGAATGGATGTTGCATTTGCTTAAAGGCTTTTTCTGTGTTAAATGTATTGATCTTTGTAAAAATCAACCATTTGTTTTACTGATAGTCTTATCATTTTACTGTTTTCAATTGAACTAATTTCTGTTCTTATCTTTTTATTTCTTTCCTTCTGCTTGCTTAGAGCTGACTTGCCTCTTCTTTTGCTATGTTTTCAGGGTAGGAGGCAATTCCTCTCTTCTAATGTATGCATTTAGTGCTATAACGCTTCCTCTCGCCACGGCTTTAGCTGTAGTACACTGAGTTCTTGGTATGTTGCATATTTTATTTTCATTCAGTTATATGTATTCTTTTATTTTCCGAAGTTTGCTTAGTTTCTAAGTGTTTGAAGATTTCCTTATTATCTTTCTGTTACTGATTTCTAAGGACAGAAAACACACTCTGTATCATTTCAATATTTTTAAATTTCTCAAGGCTTGTTTCATGGCCCAGGATATGATCTGCCTGAGTATATGGTCCATGGGTGCTTAAATAAAATGTGTATTCTGTGTTGTTGGGTGGAGTGTCTTATAATGTCAATTAGATACCGTTGATTGATGGTGTTGTTGAATTCCTCTCTATCATTGCTGATTTTATGTCTAATATTAATTGTGAAGAGAGGGGTGCTGACTTCCACTTGTCTCGTCTTACTAGCCTGTCTCAGTATCTTGCTTTATACCTACTTACTTCTGTGAGGTTGAATTATTGTTAGTGTTTACTCTGGTAAACACTTTTTACCCAAATGTTGGATTCTAAAAGTTAACTACTAAAGAAAAAGACAATATTCTGTTCTATTCTATACCATTGTATTTTTTTTAATGCCGATTATCTCTAAATTGACCTCACAGTCCACTAGTGGAACATAACCCATAGTTTGAAAACATTGTCTTAAATCATTCATAAAATAGCTGATATTATCAGTTCCTCTAACTCTATCACTGTTTCTCTGTGTGTAGCTGATATTATCAGTTCCTCTAACTCTATCACTGTTTCTCCGTGTGTCATAATTATTTCTTCTGTTTACTTCTTTAAGACAAAACCATTCCAACCCACTTTGTAGGACCATCTGCACAATACTCTACATTGCCTGTGATATATACTAGTACTTATTGTGAGGAATAATAGAGTTGAATCACCTTTCTTGAACATTTGCATAAATCAAACTTAACTATGATTTTTATTTATTTTTTGTTAATCCTCACCAGAAGATATTTTTCCATTGATTTTTAGACAGAGTGGAGGGAGGGGGAGATACAGAGAGAGAGAAACATTGATGTGAGAGAGAGATTGATGTGGTTGCCCCAAGCAGGGCAGGGGGTCAAGCCTGCAATTGAGGTAAAAAAAAAAAGAGAGAGAGAGAGAGAAAGAGAGAATCCTTACATGTTTTCCTGCTTCTTATTTGGTGCATACATATTTAAGATTACTGTATTCTTGGTGATTGACCTTTTATCTATAATAATAAAAGTGCAATATGCTAATTAGACCAGATAGCCGAACAATCTTCAGGATATCACTTCGGATGTCCTTCTGGATGAAGCCGTGGCAGCAGGAGCTGAGGCAGAGGCAGTTAGGGGCGATCAGGCAGGCAGGCAGGCGAGTGGTTGGGGGCGATCAGGCAGGCAAGCGAGTGATTAGGAGCCAGCAGTCCTGGATTTCGAGAGGGATGTCCAACTGCCGGTTTAGATTTAGGCCCGATCGGACCTAAACTGGCAGTTGGACATCCCCTGAGGGGTCCCAAATTGCGAGAGGGTGCAGGCCGGGCTGAGGGATCCTGCCCCTTCCCCCCCCCCCCCGCATGAATTCCGTGCACTGGGCCTCTAGTCATTGTATAATAGTCTTCTCTGCCGCTGGTAGTTTTATTTACTCTAAAGTCTACTTTGTCTGATATTGATATAGCCAATCGTTTGTTTCTTTTTAATTAATGGTGCATAATATATTTGTTCACCCTTTTACTTTCACCCAGACTACAATTTTATTTGTAGTGAGTTTTTGTAGACAGCATGAGTCATGTTTTTAAATCCATTCTGTCAACTTCTGTTTTTAAATTGGTGTATATAGACCATTTATATTTAATATAATTTCTGATACATTAGGGTTTAAGTAAGCCATTTTATTTTTTTCTTTGTTCCTTGTTTTATATTCCTACAGGTACCAAAAAATGTATAATATTATACATTTACTAATGTGTGCTAATTAATTTAAAGGTCGATTAAATAGTTGATTTTCTAGGAAAATATGTCATAAAATTTGACTTAATAAGAGATTAAAACCAAAAAAAAAAAAAAGAATTGTAAAAATTCTCAAAGTGTTAGCGCCCAAGTTCTTTCCTGCTTTCAAATAAAATATGATTCTGATGCCGAAACCGGTTTGGCTCAGTGGATAGAGCGTCGGCTTGCGGACTGAAGGGTCCCAGGTTCAATTCCGGTCAAGGGCATGTACCTGGGTTGCGGGCACATCCCCAGTGGGAGATGTGCAGGAGGCAGCTGATCGATGTTTCTCTCTCATCGATGTTTCTAACTCTCTATCTCTCTCCCTTCCTCTCTGTGAAAAATCAATAAAATATATTTTAAAAAAAATATGATTCTGATGATATTTATATGTTTGGAGCTTATAGAAACACAGGAAGCTTCCAAATTTATTTAATGAAACTGACATAACAGTGGTTTCAAGACTTAACAAAGAAAACAGAAAAAAATGCAAAACAAAAAATTTGGCAATATTCATATCCCCATTTAACAGATAAAGAACTGAAGGTTTAGAAATGTTAAGAAATTAGTTCCAAGTCACATATCAGGTTAGAAATAGAGTAAAGCAATTAGCAAACATAAACTCTCAACTGCTGGTTAGCAGTAAAAACCAAAAGTATCCCCTTTAAAGTCAGGATAAGACAAAGACATCCACTTGGCCCTTTCTTTCTTTATGTTTTATGCATTCTAAATACTTAGCCAAAGCTATCATCCTATATAATAAAAGCTTAATATGCAAATTGAACAGCTGAACGGCCTGCGGAACAACCGGTCACTATGACATGCACTGACCACCAGGGCACAGACGCTCAATGCAGGAGCTGCCCCCAGCCCGCAGGCCCCCGGCCAGCCAAGGCAGGTGCCAGCGGCATGCCCCCCCCCATTACCCCACTGGTCGCCCCACAGAGGGAGGGAACCAGTGGCGGTGGCAGGGGGGGCGGGGCCAGCGAGTGGGCAGCTCTAGGCCGGCCAATGCAGGCGCCAGTGCCCCCCCCCTCATTGCCCCCCCCAGTTGCCCCACAGATTGGCCCTAGGCCAGGCCTAGGGACCCTACCTGTGCACTGGGCTTCTAGTAAAAAATAAAAATAAGACGAAAGTGAAAGTGAAAATATAAAATACATATAATTAATTGAGGTGACTTTATGCCTGGAAAACAGTGCTGGCCACTGTATAGTTCCCAGTGGTTTGGCAAAGATAATAATGACGATGATGATAGTAAAATGTCCTGAGGGGCGTGTGGGACTGGCCAGGAAATTATAAGGGAAAAATGAATGCTGTGAGCCTAGCCATATCTGTTGGTTACGATATATTAAATACTATTATGACAGTACAGTCATAATAGAATGTGGCCCGGGTTTTATTCCTGGACATCACGGTCTGCCATGTTCCCGTGAAGTGAAAATCACTTGCATTATGTATGACAGAAAGAGAATTCCTAATCTGTAGGAGGCCCAGACTGTTAGCGTAGGCAGGCAGATATCAGTAAAGAAAGGGAGCAAAGGGCCTCGGACCCTGTGTCTGGCAACGAGGGAGCTGAACCCAAGGTCCCTCCACTTCACTAGAAAGCTACAGCTTCACACAGCCCCCAGGGGAGCCGCATCCTGCCGCTCACGACCTACCCCCAAGCGGCGGGAAGGATGCTTGCTGGAGGAATAGAAACAGCAGGAGAATTCCCACTGCTGGGCTCAGGCGCAGAAGCCAAGAGGGTACAGGGGGGAGCTTCTACTGTGAGGCATGAAGGTGACCATGAGGGTCGGGGCCTAGCCTGGGAAAATGATCAGATTGGATAAGAGACAGGTAACCCAGAAGATCTTGGAAAAGGATTGGTTGGGGGGAGAACCCAACAACCAGCCCCTGAAAGATTGGGAAAATGACTGGTCAGTTTGAAGGAGCACCTGGTCCTCCCCAAGCCTGAGATCCTATAATCCCAGTTTACCATCCTCCTTCTTCCTCCCTCCCACTCCCTCTCAGTAACAGCTGCTCACCCCATACATGTCCCTCCATAGCAGCCCGTGGGCCTGGCAGCTGCCTGGGGCCCAGCCAGCCTGCAGGCTCCAAGCACGGGACTCCAAGAGCAGGCCTAAACACAGCCGGCTGGAGCCCAGCCAGGAGCAGACTACATAGCCAACAGGGACAGGCCTGGACTAATCTGGCCTGGGCTTCCGCATGGCACAGAACTTTTGGACACTGGCCTTTGTATTGGGCCTGATGAAGACAAGGCTGGACTTTCCCCACAGTGGGACAGACAAAAACGAGGTATCAGGACCTGGGGGCAGCCATTTATTTCAACTCCAATAAAAATCTTGCCACTAAATTTTATCCTCCCATGTGTGTCCCCAGAAATACTTTTATCACAACTCCATGAAAGGACCCCATTTCCACCAGCAACAAAACAATCAGAAGAAAAAGATGAACAATCCAACTGAAAGTGACCTGCAAAGGACTTGGACGAGTAGTTCACAGAAAAGGAAATTGCAGAACATAAATATATGACTTGAGGCTCAGCTGCATCACTCATTTAAAAAATGCAAATCTAAATAATGATGCGATGCCATTTCTTATCAGATCCAAGTGTGATGTTAGTCAGTGCTGGCAAGAGGGTAACCTTTTCAGTGAGAATGTCAACTGGCATCACCTTCATTGGAAAGCCATTTAGCAACACCTTTCAAAATCTTAAATATGTGTGGCCTTGGCCCCAGCAACTCCACTTCTCAGGAATTTATCCAACAGATATACAGTATTGGCATGACTATGCAAAACACACAGGCACACCTGGTTGTGGTAAATATGTCTGTTTCAGGAGCTATCGTGTGACATTATTTTCCTTAGGTATAATGCTTTTTGGGAGAATTCTGAAAGGAAACTGAATGCAAGCTGCCCGCGTGTCCCTAAAGGTGTGGCTGCTTTAAAATAATGCCTTATTTGCTTACAATCTGTTGACTGTACCAGAGACTGGTGATGGCCAACTTCTTGGGTGCAAACTGAGAAAACCACCAGGGCTTCCTGGTCAGGGAGAGGACACTATTAATTTCTGGGAAAGGAAAGTCGCGGCATTTTGTAACTGCTTGCCCAGGGACCACAGACAGAGGAATGCCTTTGTGAAACTCCTCCCGAGAGCCGACAGCAGCTGTGTGGGCTCGGTGCCTGGGGAGGAAAGCAGACTCGGAGGAAGGGAAAACATGAGACAAGGACTAGCGAATGTCTAATGGGCTGGTGCTCACACTCAACGCCCTGAGTATTTTTCTGGAAAGAGCACTCCTACAGCCACAGCCTGAGTTCATCAGCAAAATCCCCTGGGAAATCTGACTCCAGGTGAGAGGTCTGTCTCCCGCCACCAACATGTGTAGGGAAATAAAAGAGCCCTGCATATGCAGGGAGAGTAAAATATGTTCTCCCTTTGGTTATCTGTGTAAAGGAAAATGAAATGTGAAATGCAGTAACTATGGTCTTTAGAAGAATTCAATATAGGGGCCTGATGAATTTGCTAGAACTTGGTTTTGTCTGGACATTAAATAAATACTAATCAATATAAATGGCTATGTCTCAGGGTTGTGATAATGGTCAAAGCAAGGGTCTGGCATTTAACACAGATCCCATCATATTTTTCACAAAATAAATCCTTGCCTACCATGAGCCTTTGCTGCTGTTCCGGGGGGTCCTTTCCATCAACGCAGGACAACGAGTGGGTTTCTTTGATTATTTATCAAGAGTCATTCAATTCTGAACAAAACACCATCATTGCATTCCATGTGGGAGGGGTTCTTCCTTAGGCACCGAAACGATCATCATGTGGACTCATGGAGAGAAATTATTATGATTATTATTATCACCACGGGACCCCAGCTCTTTTTATAATCACTAATTATTTACTGACGGTATGTAAGCTTTGACTATGACAGGGCCACCCATCTGAGGATGGCAAGTGTGAAGCATTGTAAGACTAAAATATCTGGGACTCATTCAACCAAGTGAAAGGCTCAGCCTCTCACCCACTCTGCCCAAGCCTGCCTGTCCCCATGCCTTCAGGCTAGTAGCTCCTGCTTAGTTTTGCATATAAACGTGGGGATTCTGCTGTGGCGTGAGCTTTACAGAAACAGCCCATCCTATTACAGAAGCCTGAACCCTGTACTTTTGGAAGATGGATTTGAGGCACCTTCAAGTCTCCCATCTTCTCTTTTGGCTCCTTCTCGATCAATAAGCCTTTCCTTACTCCAAATTCTGACATTTTCAGCTGTGGCCGTTCAAAGTATCAGCACGTGGACTTTGGATGGCAATACCCAACACCCTTCTCCCATTTTTAGAACAGTCTCCCAGCACCCACCCCTCACTAGCACGCAACCACTCCATGCCAGAGCCCTGGGCTTCCTGTGGGTCCCCGGCCCAGGCTTCTTGTGAGGGCATCAAGGACACGGAACAGAGCAAAGCCCCCAGGAACCCTCTTCCGGCACTTCTGTCTCGGGCCCCATTGCTTTATCCCTCGCCCCCAAACACCAGTGGCCCAGCCTCCTCCACTCTGCACCGGACCTGTGAGCACCCCTTCCCGACTCGCTCCTTCAGCCCCCACACTCATTCTCTCCCAGGTGGCTCCAGCCGTTTCTCCCACAGGAGCCCCTGCTTCATTTCTTTGTCAAACAGAAACTTGATGATGCGGAATAAACAAAGTGTGTCCCATAGAGGCGGGAAGGGACAAGGTTACACAGGTAAGTAATTTCATTTTTCCTTGTCAAACACTAAAGCGTTTCTTGCCTCCCTTTAACTGTTTGAGCACTTGCTACATGGCAGGCACTTGGAGGCAGCACTGAAGGAAACACACTTCCCATCCCCAAGGAGCTCACCGTTTCCAGCTTTAACAACGAGAAGGACTTCTCTAGGACAGAAAAGAGAAAGAAATTAGCTGCTGGTCTCAGTATAGTTGGTTTCTGCCCCACGCAGCAGGCCCTGACTTTTCACTATCCGGCAGAGCACACATCTTGGTGAGTGCTCTAAGAAGACGATTCTATTTCCAGTTGCTGCTCGGCCTTTCAAAAGTTTCCCACCAAGAGAGTCTCCCTACCTCGGCAACCTTGGGAGCACTTTCGGCATTTCCTTTAGAAGCCTTTGCCTTAACCTGAAGACAGGGATCTCTGTGCTCCTCCCGTGACCTCTGTGTGCAATGCCGCAACAGGTTTCTGCTGCTATAAGTTACCTGTAAACCAGCCAGTATAGAACGTAAATTCTAGGGGATTTCTTCTGTTCCGTGACTTTCCATCAAGCAAAAACTTTCCAAACAAAAAATTTTATCTTCTCATCTGCTAGTAAGCTTTTGGCTTATAAAAAGCATCTCAAGATTTTACACAAACAATGAATTGAAGGTCTGGTGCTCGTAACACTTGAACTTCCGTTGTCTCCCTTTTTAATATGATTCACACATTTCTTTAGAAGTTGTCACTTGTTCCCCGTATACTTACATATTTTGCAGATCAAGAAGCACAAGTGAGTAACTGGGAAGAGTCCTAGACGGGAGGCAATATGAGACCACACCCTTGCACTGCTCACGGCAGAACCCCCAGCTCCCAGCATGGCCGTGGCACAGGCGATGTATTCAGTAATTACTTTCTAAGTAAATGAATAAATGAGAGGAAAGGAACCTGGCATTTCTACTCTGTTTCCTTGCTTTTCATAATCCCAGCACACTCTGTGCCAAGATAAACCCTTTCGGATATAAAGAGAAAACTACGATTTTTGTTCCTCTTACATAGCTTCTTAGACATTGTCACTGAAGACACAGGCTGGCCTGGAGAAACCTCTGTGGAATGAATTGCATGCTGACTGCTGCGGCTTAGCCACAAATACCATGGTTAGAATGCTCTTCCTGTGGATAATATGTCAAAGGATGATGCTGATAAAAAGGAGTTCTCCCCACAAAATACGTGGCCTAGTCTCGCCAGTCTTTCCCCTGGAGCAGGGGACTGGCGCCCGGGTCACTAGCTCTGTGTTTCCTTGCGCGGTACTAGGTTTGGTCTTTGTTGATGTGCGCTGGTGAAGACTGTGCAATGTGTAGTTGTTATGGTTGACGTTGTAAATATGATAGCCCCAAACATTTACTGCACTGCTTTGTTCATAGGAATGCTCCCCAAGATTTCACAGCTTATGTAAATTTTGTGATGAGTCATTATGTTTCCTGTGTATACATTTTAACATTCTGGAGATTGTCCAGGTTGGGGTGTCCGCTTGGCTATACTCTCTCAAAAGCATCAGTAAAAAGACCCCAACAACACCAAACAAAAGAAGAAGCTTGGTCTTTGCTCAAAAAAGAAAGAACTATTAGCAGTAACTTAAATCTTTTGGTTAGCCACCTTCAGTTAATAAATATTTTTCTTAAAAACTCAGAACTGATTCTAAGCTCTGGTTATAGATTGGTTAACCTAGGAATTAGGCTCAAGATTGGTGGTGATGGTAGTGTTCTTGACATTTTATCTAAACGACCTACTGCATGGCCGCTTATGTGGAATTTGACAACTTTCAATAATTTCTATTTCTTGCATTTGTAATTGACTAATGAAAAGAAAGTTATTACTAGTGGAAGTGTCTTCATTTCTTTTTACTGTGTACTTTGTATGTTTTAAACATGAGGTAAAGCAATTGGGAATTTGGAAGCTTAAAACCTTAAAGCTAAAGCCCCCCTCAGCAGAGGGGTGTAGCTTGGTGGGGGGTGAGGGGAGGGGGGTGGGAGGTGGGAGCTGGACAGGGGTCCCCAGGAAGAGACGTGGGGAGCTTCTCCCTGTAAAGTGGGAAGCAGAGAAAAGAGACTTTTCTTGCATCAGTAGCCTTATTGCTGCCAAAGTGCAAGTCACAGACCAGATGCTCCCACAATGTTGAACAAACAAAGGAATGCAGAATGAATGAATGAAAACCAATTGTGGGGGATATTCAGGCTTTAGAAAATGTTGTTCAAAATTCCCCACGGGAATGATTTCCTTCCGGTTCTGACTGGCCTCCTTTCTGTCCGCTCGCTTCAGAGGAGGCCCTGCTACCGGGGCGAGTCCAGCTGTTAAATTCACTTTAAAATGCTCATCAGTTAGCTCGGATCTTTACTTCCCATTATTTTACTTCGGAAGCAAATTCAAAACCCAGCACAGCCAGGCCGGTCATCCGTGAGCTCCCGGGAAGCACAGAAAGGCCTGTACAGCAGGCCGGCACCGAACCTAGCGAAGCGTTGTTACTTTCCAAATGCAATTATTTCACCTGCAGGCTGCTCCCTGGCCATTCATCCCAGACTTAGCTTTTTCCCTTCTTTTTGTGGTCTCTGAGCGAAAACCACCAGCCCCGTGTAGCTGCCATGCCCTTCCTGACTCCGTCATTGCACACGGACTATCTGGTGAGCATTAGAATTCTGTGCTCAAAGGATACACCCTCAGGACGTTGTAGGCCTTGCTCTGCTGCCGTCAACATCCAGGCAAATGCCATTCGAAATTGGGTTCCTTTCAATGTGTTTTTTTAATTAAAATGTTTTTAATTTTGAGGTAAAACCAATATATATTATATGCATTTCAGGTGCACAACATAATGACTCAATCTTTGTATATGTTGTAAAAAAATCAGCACAAAAATCTATCCGTTTTTTACTTTCAAACACTTTCTCTATGACTTTATGTCTTAAAATTTCATCATTATGTACCTTGGCCTGTCTTTGCTTTTTAAATTCATTGTGCTGACCTTTTGGAAGGTTTGTTCAAACTAGAGACGTGTGTTCTGCAGTTCTCAGACATTTTCGTGTGTGTGTGTGTGTGTGTGTGTGTGTTTATAACTCCCCCCTCACTCTTCTCCTGCTTTTTCCATCCAGAACTCCTGTTAGTTGGTGTTTGACCCCCAGGTTGGTCCTCCAGGTCTTTTGTCTCCTCTCCCTTATTTCTCTCTCTTTGGGGAGAGCTCCCAGCACACTTGGGTGAACTTTTACAATAACTGGGCGCTTTCATTCCAGAATGCTAGCATGCAAGGCTCAGCAGACCTGCTCTACAACAGCCTTAGCGGGTGAAAAGTATTTGAAAAACTCAACCACTTAAAGACTGGAAATTGTCCAAAGGGCGCACAGAAAATGAAGACATAGTCATGCAAGAAAAGCCACCAGGCTTTGGCGGGAGCAGGAAGGGGCTGTGGCACTAGTGCTCTCTGGGGCCCAGGGCAGCATGACGACAGCTTTCCTGGCCGGGAGGGAAACAGGGCTCCTTCCCCCTCTGTCCTCCAGTCAAAAACGATGCTGTTTTCCTGGGAGGGGGGGAGGGCACCAGCATCACACACCTTCCCGTAGTTCTGTGTTTCAGAGGTTAAATTCCCGGGGGTGCAGCTAAGAGGTCACCAGCTCATTTCCCAGCCCAGCCCCCACTTAGAGGGTGAAGGCGCCACTCCAAGCCTGACAGAAAGGCCATGAGATTCCTATCGCCCTCCTAGCAGCTCACCATTATGGCCAAGGCTCCACGCAGGCAGGAGCACGTGGAGAAAACCACAGGCCACAGCCCCACCCAGCGCCCTGCCTAGCAACCAGTTCCAGGGTAAAGATTTGGCTCAGCGGAAGAGCAGGCTACAAGAACAGAGAATCCCAGCGCTCTCGCCAAAGAAACGGGTTTATTTGGAACAGAATGTGGAGAACTTCAAGCCTAAGGGACCTTCAAATACAGTGGCGATTGTGACAGTGAGCCGTGAAGAAGAGATGGTGGCTTCCTGATGCAGCAAGCAAAGCCCGCGGTCATGTGAGTCACAGGGAACAGGAGGAAGAGAGGCAGTGGACGCTCTCCCAAAGCCAGCACAAAAGGTACAGCCTGCCTCCAAACCACCGGCAAGGAGCCTAACTGGAAATATTTCAGACAGTGGAGAAGGACTCCTCAGAATATTCTTCAAGGCAATGCAGCAATCAGCTGGCAATGAAATGATTACAATTATTAGCATAATAGCTGGGGTGACAACAACAGAGAAAGTTAGCTTTACGGAGACATGAGAGGGACGTGTGGAAAACGGCAGCCAAACAGGCAGACCTTTCCTGCACCTCCTCTGAGGGCCCGACTGGAAATAAAACTAAATTGGGGAACATTGGCCCAGAATTAGCCACCAAGGTCCCGCTGAGGAGGAGACGTATCAGGAAGGACAGGAAACACCTGAAGGCCGGCAGGAAGGGCGAGGTGCCAGAGGGGCTGCCCGGCTCCCCAGGCAGCAGGCGACAGTGAAGAGGGCTCTGGGCTACGGAGGGTCTTTCCCCTGAGAGGGAGGCCCAGAGCCGAGCCCAGCGCCCACGTCACATCCTGTCCTGAAAGGCGCAGGGCTTCTGGCAGCCGGGGAGTCCAGAGCCGGTCTGAGATAAAGCCTCAGATTTTGTTTTGTTTTGTGTTTTATAAACCCAGAGCACAGGATTTTCTTTTGCAGCTACTCAACCAAGGCTTCAGTGGAGGGAAGGCAGTGCGGACATCGCCGGAGCCTAAGGAAAGGCTGGGGTGGGAGGCTTTGGGGAGGACGTGGAAAAGTAGCAGCAGGGAGGCCTGCATTCAATCAGACACCCGCAGATAGAAATTACTGGTTTTTCCTGAGAGCCGCTGGCCCCTCCCAGAGCCACAGCTCAGGAAAAGGAATGCTGCTCCCCCAGGCGATACCGCACACGGACCCTCAGCAGCCCCGCTGGCCACACCTGCACCTTAACCTGTGCCGAGGAGACAGCAGCAGGCCAACCTGTGGCTGTGCACCCAGTACAGCAGCACCTAAGCATATGAAAAAGCTCCTGAGGACGTCAAGGGCCTGAAAGACAGTAATAGAGTCACAGCAGGAGACTTTAACACCCGCCCACATCCCTGATAGATTCTCCAGACAAAAAATTAACAAGGAAACGGTGACCCTAAATGACACACTAGATCGGATGGATGTATTGACATTTATAGAACATTCCACCCCAAAGTGCAGAATATACATTCTTCTCAAGTGCATACGGAATATTTTCAAAGATAGACCACATGTTAGGACACAATCTGAGTCTCTACAAGTTCAAGAGATTGAAATCATATCAAGCATCTTCTCAGATCACAATGGCATGAAATTAGAAATCAACTACAGTAAAAACACTCAAATATATTCAAACACACAGAGGCTAAATCACACATTATTAAACAATGAATGGGTTACCAATGAAATCAAAGAAGAAATAAAAAAAACAACAACAACAGCCTAAAAATCTATGTGACACAGGAAAAGTACTCTTGAGAGGGACATTCATAGCCTTACAGGCCTACATCAAGAAAAAAGGGAAAACTCTAATAAACTATCTAACACTACAACTAAAAGAACTAGCAAGAGAACAATAAGGAAAGTCCAGAGTAAGTAGA